TATATATAAATATATATACATATATTATAGTGGCGCCCGAAAGAAACTTGAAAATGTAATCACCCAGCCATCGTGTGTTAGGGTTGCACTACCCGCTCATGCAGCATACGAATTTGAACCTAAATAAATTTACACCATCTAACACATTAAGGGGAGTGGGGCTACACCCCCATTCGGCTCAAAATTATGGAATTTGAATTGTAGGCATTATGAGCTTTCTCAGCCTCTCCTACAACTATTTCTTTGCATAAGAACCCCCAAAAGCCTTATTTCTTCCCATACCGGAAGTTTGTCTCCATAATTTCCTCATAAAGTCAATATTTTAATCGGTCGTTTTTCTCTATACTTTTTTTGAATAACTTCACCATTTTTAATCCAATCTTCATGAAATTTTAACAGAATGAAGAGAAGATGTAATACCAAAAATTTGTGGGTGGAATTTTATATATATATATGGAATAGATTTTTGTTGGTGGTGTCTATTTGTTGGTGTGGATTTTCACGGTTTTATTTCAAACTTGAATACTACCTCAGGAAACAATTCATAAAATATCTTCTAATTCGTTTAGGAAAAAAAAAATCAACAATCAAATTTTTAGATCTAATGTTTGATAACATGCATGAAAAAAGAAAACCCCAATCAATTTCCATCGACGATAAATGCTTTATTCATTACGTAAGACTTCTCAACAAAATCCAATATGGCCGCTGTATCCATGGAAACGAAACTTTTTTCTCAATTTGATTGCGGTTTTTTAGACTCCTTACTATGTTTCTTATATGTGTGAAATATAGTAAAAATTGGTCCTGTAATAAGCGAGATCAAACCCTGCGCGTCCCCGGATGGTGGACAGGGGAAAGGCCTCCAGACATGGAGCATAGCTACTAAGCAGTCGCGAACCAAATGAAAGACGGTCGTGGAGAGTAGAGGAGAACACTGGTGGCACAGGTGCTTTTAATAAATACCTCACCCTCTCGAAGAAGGGACCATCTTGGCGAGGGGAGGCGCCATAAATCCTGCCTACCAAAGCCCCCACTGCCTTGTGGGTTTTTCAGTGGATGATAAAGGCTAACAGAGAAAACTGTACACAAACCGGCAGTAGGTAACGGGAAATCACTGCTGTAATATCCCAAGAATAGTCATGGAAAAGTACATTCATTCATCAGATAACAGCGTTAAGGAGGCTCATGATCCAGCTCTGAACTGCCGCTCGGTAAGGACCGCCACGGGTAGCAGGTGGCGCCCGATAGAAAGAAAGAAGAAATGTGGTTTCTTAGGAGACTGCTAAGAGTATCGTGGAAGTATCAAATGAGGTAGTGCTTGATTAAACCCAATATTAAAAACAACCAGGAAACGACAAATGCAGTTTTGGGACACATAAATAGACATAAGGGTCCTGAACATCTAGCTCTCACTGGCAACATTGAGGGCAAGCGAGGCAGAGGTAGGCTTAGAACAACATACTTAGGGAACCTAAACAAATGGGTAACAGGGAAAGATCAGGGAAACGTAGCTTTTTAGAGAGCATCCGAGCGAAGGAATGAATGGAGAACCATGATCGTCGGTGTCTGTCGCAGATCTGACACTGGATGATGATGACTAAGCGAGATAGCCTCCAGGTGTAGTCCTCTCCCTTAACATTACATCAATGTTAAGAGACGCCGGAGATATGGTCACTCAAAACTGTCCTTGAAAAATCAAAGAATGGCGAAACTGTGCGAAATCAGAGAAACGCAAAAGTGTGTTCGCACGTATTATTGAAGTGCATCAACATAGTTAGAATGGACATGTATTGAATATCAAATGAAAAGAGAATATTATTGTCTCTGCAATGAACAGCATCTTCTGATGACATTTTCAAACAGATTGAAGAACAGAACAGTTACAAATACCACACAAAACCTGCACTTTATAATAACTTGTGAACATCTTATTTTACATGGAAGTTCATTCCATACCCGGGGACCAAAGAACAAAAAGGAACATTCGCCGCATGTTTTGTAATTTTGTTTTGGAGTATTAAAAAATAGATTATCAGAGGCTGATCTAAGGGCTCTGGGTAGATGATATAAATTCAGGAATTTTTAAAGATAAAAAGGTGCAGTATCATTATGCATTTAAAACAGAAAACAGCAGTTTTGTATTTGATCCTTTCTTTTACTGGCAGCCAGTGTCGTTCTTTCAGAATTGGTGTTACACACGCTAATTTCTTTTGTTTCAGTACCAATTTTGCTGCTTGATTTTGGTGTGTTCGAGCGTATTATTGAAGTGGATCAACATTGTTAGAATTGACATGTATTGAATATCAAATTGAAAGAGAATATTATTGTCTCTGCAACGAACAGCATCTTCTGATTATATTTTCAAACAGATTGGAGAACAAAGCAGTTGTAAATACCACACAAAACCTGCACTTAAAATAACATGTGCTCGTTAGTATTAAGGTTGATTTGTTTATTTTAGTAGCTAATGGTTTTGTGTCGAGCATGTCTTTTGGATGCCACTGTATATATGTAATTTGAAAAAAAAATGTATTGTGTGTATGTCTTTTCCCCCCAACCCTCCTCCGTCTCTCTCTCTCTCTTTTCCCCCCTCTCTCTCTTTCACTCTCTCTCCCCCCTCTCTCTC